TTCATCTACAGGTCACATACAATGGAAGGATGGTAAAAAAAGGGGTTATTGTACAGATAAAGTGCAGGATAAGGGAGGTGAAAGGGTTAATATACAGGTCAGAGCAGAGATTGAATGGAGCTGGTATATACAGGAGTAGAAAGGGGATGAAAGTGTTAAACATTTTATTGGGCCTTTTGATTTGTTACGGCTGCTGCTTTTAGGGACCAAAAGCATTTACATTAACATTCATGCAGACAAATTTAAGTGACACTAAACTTAGGAGTTACAGCTTAAAAATACATTCAAGTACCTTAACTATTAATAAAAATGTATCTTATTTGTATCTCACGCGGCTGTCGATCCTCCAATCATCTCTGAATTCATGCTGACACTGTCTTTCCTTCTGCAGGGTGACTTCTTTTGTTCCCCATGGTCCCTGTGTGTGTTTTAAAGTAGTCACTGCTCCAAGCTCACTCCCGTGATGGACTACAATCTCAATAAAAATTATTAAACTAAACATGAGATTTCTTCACTAGATGTTATCTTTTATATTCAACATATGCTGTAAAGAAAGTTTATTTACTGCCATTGGATCACAAAAGTTGCTAAAATCTCATTGGTTGTTGTGGGGAGAATACACTTCCATGTATCATTTCAACCTCACATGGCCTTATTTAATAAAAGTGTTTGAGGGGAAAGTTTGTTAATAATATGTGTTTATGACAGCCCAGCAGATGGCAGACACTGCTAGCTAGAAGTTGACATTTTACATCTTGTTTTATTGCCTTTTGTATTTATATATTGTTTTTTCCTTCAAGATCACAAGGGAATACACTTTTCTGGATTATATAATGGGTGGATGTCAGATGAATTTTGTTGTAAGTATTCAAATGTTTCTTTTTATATATTTTCTTTGATGCATTACATAGTCATTTTTGTCTGCCTTTCAAATACACGCATGCAACAGGATCTACCAGGTTTAGTTATTAAGCCTCTTGGATCAATGTAAGTGATATCATGGGTTGAGAAAGTTGCTCTCCCCAGAATAAGGATAGACTGACGATGGTTGGCTAAGAATTTGTTTTTGGTCTTTTCAGGGTACACATACGGCGTTCGCTCACCTGTCGATCCTGTCACAGCTCTCTGCCGTGACGGGCTGGATTCCCCCCTCCCCGCTCCGATCCGCCAGCGCTGACTGGCGGAACGGACGGGGGAGGGGGCAGGTACAGCTGGCTCTGCCTCTAGATAGGCAGAGCCAGCTGTCAGTCACGCAGCTGGGCGGATACCGGCATAATTGTCGGGATCCGCTTCAACTGCGGCGTCTCAGTATACAGCGAGCTACAGCTCGCGGTATACTGAGTCTAGGGTGACGGGAGGACGCTAGTTTGTGTCCTCCCATTGCCCTAAGGAGAACTATGGGGAAAAGCCTTAACCCCATAGTTCTCCTTTAAAAAGTAAAGCATGGAGAACGATGACAGCTGCAGATCGTGTGCCTTCAGAAACACATCAGGCATAACAACTTTCATATTTTTGCTCCCTTAAACTATAAGGAAGTTGAACCTGCCAAATTTCAAACCTTGTCAAGCACCCACAGAGATTGTGAGTGCGACCCTCCTTCATCAATGTCTGCAGAAGTTGCTTATCATGAGTTGTAGACAGCATAGACCGTGTCTATTTCAGAAAGTGTGATACATAGGGCCCAGTCTTCTAAGGACGGAACTGTCCCACACAGCCTGTGTTGCTGCATAAGCAATAAAATTCAAATCGGAACATCTGAATCTCATTGTTTTTAGCATTGGAATATGAACTGTCTGAGACAATTCTTCCAATAATGTCCACCTCTGGGCAAAACAAGCACCCCTTTCCAATCCCCTTAAACTGATTGCTGGCATAGGAAAAAATATATATTTTAGCTCTAACTTTACCTACCTAAATCTGTGGTCCCATGACATTGGGAACCCAAGTCTGTTTATAGCCCGCGAGGTCCATCTTTGGTTGTCCATAGGGTAGTTTGTGGTGTGTCCATGTCACTGTCTGCATAACGTGAACTGTCCCCTTTGGTGGCAGCGGCACTTCTAGAAGCAGGGTCCTTGAACATTTGCTTAAGAGGCATGTGGGTTGTAAAGCGACTGGTTCCCAAAGAGATAGTGGGGGGAAATGCTACATCCCCACTGTGAATAATCAACTTTGCAGACAGAGGAAGATATTTTTGTGAACACCAGTGATGAAAAAGGTCATTCATGTACAATGCACAGTTAGAACAGTTAGAATGTCATATTTGCCTGGAGCTGAGCTGTAAATATTTTGTAAAGCTTAGCAGTGTAATCTACCCTTATACACATGACACCTTTCATGTTGTATCATACTATTTCTTTATTTTAATATACTCTTCGCTATGCTGTCTCTTTATATAGGTTGGCATTGACTTCACTGGATCCAATGGTGACCCTCGCTCTCCCAACTCTCTGCACTACATTAGTCCTAATGGTGTCAATGAGTATCTTCATGCCATGTGGTCTGTAGGCATGGTCATTCAGGATTATGACACGTAAGCTCTTTCCAATTCTGAATTCACTCTTTAAGACTGTGCAAATATTTCAGCTTCCATTGGTTTAGAGCATATCCAACATTAAATGGTTCCGTTGCGTTTGCACTACATTTTGATGCGTTTCGTGCAGTTAGATATGCAGGTAAAATAGGACAAGCATTACTTTTTCTGACTGCATCTGAACGGACTGCAATGGTGTGAATTAAGCACAAAAAAGCCCATAGGAAAGCATTGTGATGTATTTTGACTGCAACAGTCAAAATAAACGGACTGCATCACAACTGCATATGGTATGAACTGGCCCTTAGAGAGATTTCCCTTCACTTCCTGTTTTAGGGACAGCATTTTACCAGATAGGAAAGGAGAGAACAATTTCCCCTCACTTGCTGTCCTGGGATCATCCCCTCTCTATCCTAAACTAAAAAAAATGTTTTGTCTATAGATACACAGCTCATGAATGCCAGAAACAGCCATAAAAAATATAAGTATTCTGTTTTTGCAGCACTGCCTAGGATTGTATATCAATGGGCCTATAAAAGTTTTGTAAATTATTAATTACAGGGTAAATTTTGTAGTTTGAACTAAAGCCACATTTTAATTGATACTCTATCATTGTATGTTTACTATTTTGTTTGTAGAGACAAGATGTTCCCAGCTTTTGGTTTTGGGGCCCAAATACCACCAACGGGACAGGTAACATAAACATTCTCTCTCAATCCCCCCCCACCACCACTCCCCCCAGCACACAAGGCTGCCTCTACGCACAAAGTTCAGAACTAAGCACGGGAAAAAGATCAGCAGCAGGTAGACTGCAGGCGATACTGGTGACCAATCCTTTGTCCACTTCATGTTATTTTTTTGGGCACAGCATCCACACCACAGGTCCACTTTAAACAGAGATAAGCAAGCATTGCACATCGGAAGTAGTAGATTGCCAGGTGTTCCTTTGAGTTCCTTTGTTTCAGATTGAAGTAATTGCACAGGGTTGGCCTGTAGTTATAGTAAGTTTCTGGGTATTTATACGAGGACCATCTCCCCCTAAATTGGCTTTCTTAATGCTGGCTATCATGCTCTTTGTGTTGAATATTCACTACGGTAGACCTCTTCCACAAGCTCGTATTAAAATATTAATATGTGCATTATAATTCCTGTAACTATTTTTCATAAAATAATAATGTTCGGGGGCGTGTCCTGGACATGGCGGCGTGAGGAGCACATCAGGAGAGCTGCGAGGCCGCGATCTACATTTTGCACTTCATACAAGGACAATCTCACACGGGAGGACCCCGCTCCGGCATGTCTAAACGCCGCAAGGACGGAGGCGACAAAGGGATGCCTGCAGAGGAGGCAGTTCAGCGGTTCTTCACCCCTCGGGCCCTGACTTCCACGTCCCGTGGTGGCATCAAGATGGCGCCCGCAGCGTCGGCACCCGTCTCTCCCCGCCGGACGCGCGGACGGGAATCCCCGGCTCGCAGTGTTTCGCCGATGGGATCAAGATACCCCGAACTGCCTGACCTCGATCGGGACACTGACGGAGACTCGGGCCCGGACTTTCCTGCGGATGTCCCTGTGGAGCTGCGGGCCCTCCTGAAATACCTGCCCACCAAGCAGGATTTTGAGGCCATGGTCACCCGGGTGGAAACCGAACTGCGCAGCGACCAGCGTGAGGTAAGACGGGAGGTTCGGGGCCTAGCCGCAGAGGTAGTGGAGGTTAAGGCATCCGGCTCCTTGATGGACACTAGGATAGCCTCCCTTGAAATGGCGGTCACGCGGTCGGACCACCGCTTCACCGAGCTCCAACTCCACATGGAGGACAGGGGTCGGAGAAACAACCTCCGTTTCCGAGGCATTCCAGAAGCCACTGAGGCTCCAATCTTCAGGCCACAGTGCAGGCCATATGTGCTCCCCTTCTCGGTGACACAGCCCCTGCGGAGATAATCCTGGACCGGGTCCACCGAGCTGCAGGCGCCCGCAACCTTAACAACCCTCGCCCACGCGATGTCATATGCCGCGTGCACTACTTCACCATGAAGGAGGCAATCCTCATGCCTCCTTCCCTGGCCGGCCGCTGGAATTTGATGGGGCTCAGATCCACATACTACCGGACCTCTCCCGCAACACCCTCAGGCGCAGGGCCCTTCTCCGCCCGCTCCTGGACCAGATCATCCAGGCGGGAGCAACATACCATTGGGGTTATCCCTTTCAGTTGTTAATCCGCAAGGGGGATGCTACCTACCAGCTACGATGCCCGGGCGATATCCCGGGCCTATCTGCCTTCCTAGATGTGGAGATCTCACCACCTGAAGACTGGCTGGGGGACATATCGGATGCTACCAGGCCGCCCCTTCACCACCTGAAGACTGGCTGGCGTACATATCGGATGCTACCAGGCCGCCACCACTACCTCAGAGGCCTTCAGGCTCCAGATCCCGGTCCTCGCAGGCTGCCCCGACCCGGGCACGAAGAGCTGCTGATCCTTCTTCCTCATCGGAAACTTAGTTGGCCTGAGGGTACCCATATTCGGGTCCTACCTACTCTCTTTTTTGGTGTTCTTCGGACTCCCTATGGCCCCATATGGCGCAATCTTAACAACCCTCGCCCACGCGATGTCATATGCCGTGTGCACTACTTCACCATGAAGGAGGCGATCCTCAGGGCGGCGTTGCCCGGCCGGCCGCTGGAATTTGATGGGGCTCAGATCCACATACTACCGGACCTCTCCCGCAACACCCTCACGCGCAGGGCCCTTCTCCGCCCACTCCTGGACCAGATCATCCAGGCGGGAGCAACATATCGTTGGGGTTATCCCTTTCAGTTGTTAATCCGCAGGGGGATGCTACCTACCAGCTACGATGCCCGGGCGATATCCCGGGCCTATCTGCCTTCCTAGATGTGGAGATCTCACCACCTGAAGACTGGCTGGCGTACATATCGGATGCTGCCAGGCCGCCACCAAGACCTCAGAGACCTTCACGCTCCAGATCCCGGTCCTTGCAGGCTGCCCTGACCCGGGCACGAAGAGCTGCTGACCCCCGTTCCTCATCGGAAACTTAGTTGGCCTGTTGTTTATGCTTGATTTATTTTTCCCTGAAACATGACCGCCACGCTGGGACTGACTTGCTCTCGGTTCTGTTGTTGTGCAGCCGAGAGGGAGTCACGCGAAGACGCTCGGTCCTGCTGTTGATGTTCACTGTCTACGGAGGTGTGGGCGGTGCCGCCTGAGGGGGCCTACCAGTTGGACGGTTTATTCACCAGCCTGCGGGAGGCCCTTGATGGTTGCACAGTCCAGACACTCTTGCGTGGTGCGCCACCATTGTTTGCAAATGTTTACCCCTGTTCCCTGCCGGTATCTGGAAGTCAAGCGGGGAGGTTCCCATGGAAGGGACTTCCCGGTGCTCTGTGGCGGGGTCCACCTGAGGGGGTTTTGCCAATCGGTTGGGCAGTTTCACCTGCCGGTTGGGGGCCCTTGATGGTCGCCCCTCCTAGCCAATTATGCGGGGTGCACCAGTATTGTTTGCTAACGTTTATACATACTCCCTGCCTGTATCGGGGTGTCAAGCGAGGAGGACCTCGTCTGCCACCCATGTCTGCTATAACTAACGTGGCCTTTGCAGGGGGGTATCATGGGATCCTCACCGCTTTCAATGTGCAAGTATAATGACGCCACATGCTAACGGCCTCTACGGGTGCTCCTCTGGACACCTGTCTTAACACTTTCCCCAAATAGTGTTCACCCCCTATATGCGCTTCTCCTCTCCTGGTCCCTGCTGCTAATGGGCCTCTGCAACTCCTGCCCAGAGATGCCTCCGTTCCGCCTTATCTCTCACAATGTCAGGGGTCTGAATATACCCGAGAAACGGGCCATGGTGTTGCACGACCTGCATAGACAGCGAGCCCAAATAGGCTTCCTACAAGAGACCCATTTCCGCTTAGGCCACGCCCCATCGCTCAGAGATCGCAGATACCCGACGGTGTATCATAGCTTCTCGCCTGATAAGAGATCCAGGGGGGTCTCTATTGTACTTGCCAGAGGATTGCCATGGACATATGTGGACATGCAAGCAGGGGAGGACGGCCGACTACTGATGGTGAAGGGTAAGCTGGAAGCGCAGATGGTCACCCTCATCAATGTGTACCTTCCTAATCAAGCCCAGATCCCATTCCTTGAGAAGGTATTGACCCTGATAGAGGACTTCAAGGAGGGGATCCTAGTGATAGGGGGGGACTTCAATCTTTTACTGGACCCGGCAGTGGACTCCTTCAGGCCTACATCGCGCATGTCGGGTGCAGCGCGGCGTCGGCTTAAGAAGTGCCTCCACTCTCACCAGCTCTCCGACGTTTGGAGGGTCCACCACCCCCAGGGGTGGGATTACTCATTCTACTCCTCGGCCAAACAGACTTATACTCGAATCGACTACTTCCTGTCCACCACTCCGCCCTCCTCCTCATTTCTGGGACAGCAATAGGCAACATTACCCTTTCTGACCATGCCCCTGTACAGATTCAGCTAGATGTGGGCACGACGGGCACCGGACCGTGGCTTTGGCGTTTGAACGAGGCCCTGATTCAGGACCCGACCCTTGCGGGGGAAATTGAGGATGACCTGCGCACTTACTTTTCCCTGAACCAGGCTTCTGAATGTTCCCCTTATTCGATTTGGGAAGCACACAAGGCATACATTAGGGGTACCTTGATTAAGTTGGGGTCTCAAATCAAGCGCCACCGCCAGCAACAGATTGACTCTCTTTTGACGCAAATCCATCTTCTCGAAACCAGCCACAAGCGAAACCCAGACCAGTCACTGATGGCTAAGCTGACTGTTTGTAGAGACTCACTGCGCTCCTTATGCACCCAACGAGCTAAGGCAATGTTAGTTAAATGCAGGCGTCATTTCTACGAATTTAGCAACCAATGCAGTAGATCCATGGCCCATGCCCTACGGCAACAGAGGTCTACGACCTTTGTTGCTGCAATGAAATCGCCCTCGGGTGCTCTTCTCCATCTGTCATCAGATATGGCGGATAACTTCAGATCCTACTACTCGTCCCTCTATAATATTCCACGCCCAGGGCAGCCCAGAGCAGCAGAGTTACACTCGTCCCGGATCAAGGCGTACCTGTCCTCGTCAGCGCTCCCCTCGCTTCCACCCGAGGTTATTGAGCTCCTGGAGAGCCCGATAACGGAACTTGAACTCACGGAGGCTCTGAAGCTGACCAACTCGGGCAAGGCCCCGGGTCCGGATGGATTCACCCTGCTTTATTATAAGCGATATGCCCCCACCCTTGCCCCCCACTTTGTGCGAGCCCTAAATTCGGTAAGAAACACAGGTGTCCTGCCACGAGACTCGCTCTCCGCACACATAACGGTGATCGCAAAACTGGGAAAAGACCCGAAGGTATGTCCGAGCTACCGTCCTATCTCCTTATTGAGCGTGGATACCAAGCTATTCTCCAAAATACTGTCTATGCGGCTTCTCCCCTATATTACAGCAATAATCCACCCTGATCAGGCGGGCTTCATTCCTACGAGGGAGGCCAGGGACAACACCACCCGAGCTCTGAACCTAATCCACTCGATCGTGCCGAAGGCCACTCCTGCCCTTTTGCTATCTACGAATGCGGAGAAGGCCTTCGACAGGGTCGACTGGTCCTTCATGAAGCACACCCTGGAACATGTGGGCCTGGTACCACATATGCTTTCATGGGTGATGTCCCTCTACTCCACACCAACAGCCAGGGTCCAATTGAACGGGGCACTATCGCAGGGCTTTTCCATCTCCAACGGTACTCGCCAGGGCTGCCCACTATCCCCACTAATCTTTGTACTGACCCTGGAACCCTTACTTCGCGTGATTAGGGCCAACTCGGATATAGGAGGTGTAATAGTCGGAGGTCGAACCCATAAAGTGGCCGCTTACGCCGACGATCTTCTCTTCTTCCTGACCTCCCCAGAGGTATCCATCCCGAACCTACTTAGTGAATTCTCCAAATACGGGGATCTATCGAACTTCCATATTAACGCCCAGAAATCGGAGGCTCTGAACCTCACCCTGCCTAGCTCAGGCACAACGACTCCAGCGCAACTTTCCATTCACATGGTCTACATCTTCTCTGAAGTACCTCGGAATCCAGCTTCCGCGGAATCTGGACGATACTTATTCCCTCAACTTTTTACCATTGATGCAGAAGATCAAAGAGGATATGTCAGGGTGGTCCCGTCTTGGTCCGGATGGATTCACCCTGCTTTATTATAAGCGATATGCCCCCACCCTTGCCCCCCACTTTGTGCGAGCCCTAAATTCGGTAAGAAACACAGGTGTCCTGCCACGAGACTCGCTCTCCGCACACATAACGGTGATCGCAAAACTGGGAAAAGACCCGAAGGTATGTCCGAGCTACCGTCCTATCTCCTTATTGAGCGTGGATACCAAGCTATTCTCCAAAATACTGTCTATGCGGCTTCTCCCCTATATTACAGCAATAATCCACCCTGATCAGGCGGGCTTCATTCCTACGAGGGAGGCCAGGGACAACACCACCCGAGCTCTGAACCTAATCCACTCGATCGTGTCGAAGGCCACTCCTGCCCTTTTGCTATCTACGAATGCGGAGAAGGCCTTCGACAGGGTCGACTGGTCCTTCATGAAGCACACCCTGGAACATGTGGGCCTGGTACCACATATGCTTTCATGGGTGATGTCCCTCTACTCCACACCAACAGCCAGGGTCCAATTGAACGGGGCACTATCGCAGGGCTTTTCCATCTCCAACGGTACTCGCCAGGGCTGCCCACTATCCCCACTAATCTTTGTACTGACCCTGGAACCCTTACTTCGCGTGATTAGGGCCAACTCGGATATAGGAGGTGTAATAGTCGGAGGTCGAACCCATAAAGTGGCCGCTTACGCCGACGATCTTCTCTTCTTCCTGACCTCCCCAGAGGTACCCATCCCGAACCTACTTAGTGAATTCTCCAAATACGGGGATCTATCGAACTTCCATATTAACGCCCAGAAATCGGAGGCTCTGAACCTCACCCTGCCTAGCTCAGGCACAACGACTCCAGCGCAACTTTCCATTCACATGGTCTACATCTTCTCTGAAGTACCTCGGAATCCAGCTTCCGCGGAATCTGGACGATACTTATTCCCTCAACTTTTTACCATTGATGCAGAAGATCAAAGAGGATATGTCAGGGTGGTCCCGTCTAGCCTTTTCCTGGACAGGCAGAGTTAATGTTATCAAACAAAATGTTCTCTCGAGATTGTTATACCCGATTCAGGCGTTGCCCATCTCGATCCCCAGGGGGTTCCTCGGGTCAATTCAGTCCCTGATCACGAGATTTGTGTAGGCCCAAACAGTCTGGAGGTTTGGCTCTACCTGACATTCACTTCTACCATATGGCAGCCCACCTGACGCGGATACTGGACTGGTGCCGCCACGAGAAGCTGAAACCTTGGGTCTCCTTGGAGCAGTCTTTCTCACAACTGCCCCTCAAAACTCTCCCGTGGTGCCCCAGAATCTCTCAGGTAATACGTGCACACCCCACCTTGGGGCCGACATGGAGGGTTGCCAGAAAGATATTTGATTCTAGACGGATCTCCCCCTTCCCCTCCCCGCTCCTCCCGGTGATAGGGAACCCCGAATTTTCGCCTGGGCTGCACAACTGGGCCCAAAGGAAAGGTGTACGGCACTTCATTTTATTCAGGGACCGGGCTGGCCGACATTCTCCGACATGGACAGGGATCCCATCCTGGCCCCACTGGGCTTCTGGCGGCATTTTCAACTTACCCACTTCCTCACTACTCTTCCGAGCCCCGTAGCGATGACACGCTCTCTCACAACTTTCGAGCAGGAGTGCACCTCCCTGGGACACTTACCCAGAGCCCTCTCGCTGTGCTATCAGTTGCTCCTAGCCCCGGACTGTGATCTTCCTTTGCCATTTATGGCAGCATGGGAGAGGGATCTGGGACTTACCTTTTCTCCCAATGACACCTCAAGAATCTTGCAGCTATCCCTAAAGTCCTCTATAAGCAATCGGTATCAGGAATCAGGGTACAAAATACTTACCCGATGGTACCGTACTCCCAGTAGGTTGTACAAGATATTTCCTGACTCCAGTGACTGCTGCTGGAGATGCGGCTCCTCCCCTGCGGGCATGTTCCACATTTTCTTGTCCTGTCCATCGCTTCAAGAGTTCTGGTCCAAAGTTCACTCCATCACTCAGAGGTTCTCGATCTCCGACATTCCCAAGGTCCCCTCATTTTATCTACTTCACCTGGCCGCTGATTCTCTACGGAGCTACAAAAGGTCCTTGGTGATTCATCTTGTTAATGCGGCTAGAGCATGTATCCCGGCCTCGTGGAAACAGGTCTCTCCTCCCACCGTAAAGCTGTGGCTCAGCAGGATCAGTGACATCAGGCAGATGGAGGACCTAACCAGCTCCCTAAAGGGAACGGGGACTCAATTTTGCTATACCTAGTTTGAGTGGGACGAATTCTCATCCTCCCCGGAATACTTGAGCCTCCTGGAATGAGACTGCAGAGGGGCCCTACTCTCTTTCTCCCTTCTCTCCCTTTTTCTCCTAACTCTTCCTGGTCTTTATTACAGTC